TCTCTTTCCTTATTTTATTATTCCTCAATTTCTGCAGCCTCATCATCAATTTCATGTGTAATTCTTCTTTTTTTTCCTAAATCTTTCAAAACTTCTTTTAAATTAGCTTATGCTTTTGATTCTCCAACAGCCATTAAATCAAGTTTTCTATTTTTTAAGAATTCAGCTATTTTTTAACTATCTTCATCTAAATCATCTTAAATATCCATTAATTCCTTTTGTTTTTTAATAAGATGATCTTGATTTCTAGCATTGTTCATATCTTCTCCAGTATCAGTCCATTTTTCTGCAAAAACTTTCTTAACCATCTTCTTTACTACAGGTTACAGTTACACTATTTAATGAGCCATTTTATTAGTTTCTCTTTCTTCAGATTAATCAACAGATTTTCTTCTTGCTTATGTCATATTTTTCTATAAACTTTCAAGCATTTTATCAGGTTGTACCTCAAAATTAGTATTTATTCTATTTTGTGAACAAATACATACTTTAATATATAATGAACAATCAAATTCTAGCCATTATAAATTTTATTCAAAGTTTATCTCAATTCACTAAAATGTGCAACTTCTAGCATTTCACTAATTTCATATAAAACTATCTAATATATTTCATGCATTGTTTTCATTAATTCCATTAATTTTGGTTTAGTCAAATCTTTAGATTATTTTTATTTGAAATCATGATCCACTTTTGATAATAGCTTATCTAATTTAGCAATTTTTTAAATATCTAAACCTCCAGCAAATTGATTATCAATTTCTGAAAATCTAGCTTCAGCCATTAAAAATAGATTATAAATTTATAATTATAAGTAAATACTATGTCTAAACTATTTAAATACAAAAAAGTTGGGAATAGCTTAGTGGTTATAACTAAAGATTCAATTGAATTAATGGATCAATTAAGAACAGAGCATTCTAATCTTTGTAAATCCAAATCTGAATTAGAGATAAAAAAATAGTTGATAGAGGATAAAATGAGAGAATTATCAATCAAGTAAAATTTCTTTTAATAATATAGTGATTAACAAGATATTCCTAAGACAATGTATAAATATCCTTTTGATTCCCAAAATGATTAAAGAACTTTAGATGAAGAAATAAACTTTCAAATTAATGATTATTAAGAATTCATTTCTGATTTTTAAGAAAATGATACAAAAACTAAAAAAGAATTATTTAATTATTTTAGTTATAAATCTGATGTAAAAGATTTATTTAATGATCCTAATAATACAAATAATCTAAAAAAACTTGCAGAAGAATTTGGAATTAAATCAAATAATATTAATAAGATGAAATAACAAATTACGATAATTTAGAATTATTTATAAAACTAATCATTTCCATCTTAATGGAATAATATTTATAATACAGAATTATTTGATAAATTAGAAATTTGATCAATGCATCATAACTAGTTATAAATAATTATAATTCAATTTTTTCTATGTTAATCTATTTTTTCTCCCCATCTTTTCTCAAGTCTTTCTAAATTTGCAACAGTTTCATCATATTTTCTTTTTAATATTTGATATTCTTCATTTCTCTCTGATAATTCTCTTGATTTTCTATTCATTTCATTAGACAAACCATTAATTTTTTATTGTAAACTTAAATTTTCTCTGGATAGATTTTCTAAAGCAATCTAAAGATCTTATTGTCTCAAAACTGATCCTATAAATTAATAAATTTAAATATGTACTCCTACTATCATCAGACATTTTCTTGCTTTATAATTCTCTTCTCATCTCTTCCAAATTTTAATGCAATTACTCTGTTTCTTCTTTTCTTTTTTTTAACATTTCACTCAAATGTTATTATTCTTATTTAGATTAAATTAATTCATTTTTATAATTGGCAATAGTAGCTTAATGTTGATTTAATAGCATTCCTTATCTTAATAATTCTTCTTAAATATTAAAATTATTGCTTCTCACTTTTTCAACCTCTGATTTTAAATTTTCTATTTAATCATTTTTACTTTATAATTCTACTTAAAGTTATTATTCTCTTTAATCATAGTCAAATGAGGAAAGGGCATTTCTTTTATCTAACATTTTAATTTATTATTCCATAGTTTATTTTAACTCTAAAATTTCTTATTCTTTAACTTATAGAAGTTCTTCTTATTATAATCTTACATTTTTTAATCTTCTTTCAAGATCATTTACATTTTCTTAACAAACCTTCTTTTAGACTTCATATTAATCTCTCATACCACCCATTTCTTCAATTAATTCATTTAGTTATCTTTCTTTTTCCTATGTTTTTCTTGCTTATAATTATATCATTTCATTTAATTCTGTTACTTGATATTTCATTTCTGATTTAACAGATTACATTTGTTTTTCAAGTTTTTCATATTCCACTCTTATTTATTATTCATTTTATTTTAATCCATCAATTTGTTAAAGTAATTATTATTATAATTATGCTTATTACTATAATTACTAATTCATTTGATCATGTTATGTTTAAAGCTAATGATTTTTATCTGTTGATTTCTTTAATTCATTTCTTGTAAAGGCTAATTCTTAATTTAACTAATCAAGTTTTCTTTCAGTATTCCTTATCTCTTCTTATAACTTACCTTTTTTAATATCAATTTATTTAAACTCATCTAATAATTTTTAATAATCTTGTTTTGCTATCTAAACCTTATCCTCTGTTCCTTTTAACATTTAATTTAAATAATTAATTTAATTTCTATGTTCTCTTTCTAATTCATTTTTTTATTTTAATAAATTTGATACTTCTATTTCCTTATTTTAAAGCCCATTTTTTAATTATTCATTCATTATTTCAAGATTATGACATATTTAAATAGATTGTTCCTCAGAAATACTCTTTTCTTTTAAAATTGATTTAATTTTATCTTCCAATTTCTAAATCATATCATTCTTATTATCAATAACTTTAGAATCAACTTAATTATGAGCCATTTCAGCTTTTAAATTATCATTTTCTATTTATAATTAAAGTAATTTTAGCTCCAATTATTCTGATTACTTTGTACTACTTGAATGAATTGATTTAAGTATTGATGGTGATTTAGGAATCTCTTTTTAATTATTTTTTTCTGTTAATAATTACTTATATTTAATTTCTAATTATTCTAGTTCATTTTAAAGTTATTGATTTTTCATTTTATAATTATTAATTTCATCAGATTATAATCTATTACTAGTTTAGCTTGATAAATTCTTAGAACTTTCAAATTAAATAAGTTTATTTTTTAATTCTTCATTTTCTTTTTAATTTATTTGAAGACACTCAAAGACTCTATTAAATTCTTTATTAGCTTGATTTGCCTTTTCTTCAGCTAATTATTTTTTCTTAATTTCTTCAGTTACTTTTTATTCTTATTCAATTAAATTTTTATTTAACTATAAATAAATATTTATATATTACTTTTTAATTCTCTTAAACTAATGCAGTCATTTTAATTTACAATTATTCAAGTATACTTTTTAATTTATTATAATCTTCAGCCATTGTGGATATCTTTGAATCATTATCAGATCCATTAATAGGTTCATTATTAGCAATCTCTTCTAATTTTCTAAAATTTGCTAATATTTCAATCATTTTATCATTAATTTAATCTGGTAGTCTACCATCACCCATCATTTTCTATACAGATGACATTAAATCTCTTAAAGCACCTGAAATTCGATATATTTCAGTTTATATCTTAGGTTTTGATTATATTAAATTAATATTTTATGAAGATAATCTACTATTACCAACAGTTGGATGATTATCTGTGAATGGAGACTTTGCCTAAAATTATTAGTAATTTTCTTTTTAATCAATGAGAGTTGTTCCATCTTTTTTTGAGGTATTGCTTTTTCTTTCTGTTAATTATTCTTTATTTGCATCACTTTAAAAAGTTCCAGCAAAAGTTTTGTTATATTCATACTTATAAGTTTCATATTAAGGTTTAAATTCATTCTAAGATTTTATCACTTCTTATTGATTATTTGGTTTAAAAATTTCATTTGTTATTGATCCATTTTTTATACTAGGTTTGTATTAATATGAACTTTCTAATTTTTAAGGAGGAGATGGTTAAATGATAACATGATTCTAATTGACTTATTTAGCATCAAATTGAGGTGATTGCATATAAGGGGATGGACCTAATTATTGAATCTTAGATTATGATTATGTTTTTGGGCAATAGATTTATTTATCTGGAGATTACATAGAAAAATTTCCCATATCTTTAGATACAGAGAATTACCTATTCATTCCTGAAATCTGAGTTGGCTTTTATACACTTTTCATTATATGCTGTTAAATAATTTTATTTATTTTTCTGTTAAAATTAACATTTTATTTTACTATTATTAAAGTAAATATGATTTCTTTTAAATATATTCTAATTTTATTATCTATTATATTTTAATTGCTATATATCCTAAATTATAAAAGTTTGTATTTAAAACATTTTTATTAGATTTTATGATTGTTAATTCAAGGTTTATATATATAAATATTATTTATGTATAAAAGTAAACTATCCAAAATGTTGAGATCTTTTAGAAAATTCAATTACAATAATCTAACATTTTAACCAATTAGAATAAAATGAATCATTAAATTGAGAGAGCTTATAATTAGGAATTTCTTAGCCTATTTTATAAATGAAATTTAAATTTCTATGATATAAAAAATAATTGTGATACAGAATTAATTGTTTATTAATTTGATTGGATTGTATATTAAAATTTTTAAATAGATTAGAATATAATTTAAATTTTTGATCAAATAAAATCAACTAATCAAAAATGATATTAAAAACAATATAAACTTTTCACAGTTATTAAAAAATACTGAAATATATTTAAGATTCATATTAACATTTACTAATGATTTTTATGAATTAGATCGTTTGGAACTAAAAATAAATAATGATGTAATAATAATAATCATTTAAATGGATTTTTATTATAAAAATTAATCTCTTAATATTTATTTTATTAAAATAATTCAATATTTTACAACTCCAGCTTATAACATATGAAAGTCAAGAACTTCTACTTCTGTTTAATTCAAATTTCCATTATGACCGCATCCTAAAGGAATAAAGGAACCTAAATATGTTTTTAATGATTCATTAATTTTTGAAGCTATTTAAATAAATTATAAAAATTACTTGATTTTCTTTCTTCTGAATCTTTCATTTCAATTTAAACTGATTAATGTGATGGATGTTAATGTTAATTCTTTAATGTTTTTTTAAAGTTTTCTCTTATCAATTTTAACCTTTATATTATTAATTCCAAATCTTAAATTAACTAATAATTAGTAATTAATAAATACTCTAGTTCCATTTGGAGAATCTAAATTATTTTTTTCATTCTTAATGAGAGTTTCAATTTTATTAATATTAGATGTAAATCTTGCAAATGCTAACTTTTAACATACAACTGTATTCATTTTCTTTTTTGGAATATTTTTAAGTGGAATATAGGATCCCCATAAGAATATACTTAATAAGTAATCCAGAAAGACATCATATTATTATGATTCACTAAAAGCTGAAAAGACATCATTTAATGTCATAGAAGCAGTTTCAAAAGATTCAAAACATTCATAAACTTTATTTACAAATTTTAGAAGATTTTCATTAGATTTCTCTTTTTCAGAAAGAGTATAAGGTCCGGCCAATTAAGTAACCTTGATCATAGTATTTACAAACATTCATACCTCATCAATATCATTAGTTGAATTTTAATTCTAGGAAAATGATTTTTCAATTTCTTATGATTCATTCATATATGCTGAATATGAATCATCTAAGGTCTTTTTGCTTCTTTCAGTTTATAAATCTTTCATAATATATTAAATTCTATATAAAATGTGATATATTAAATTTACCTTTTATTTGCTTCAAAAAATGTCAACATTTCTTATTTATTCAATAATTATGAATACCAAATATCATAAAATATAGTACTCTCTGATTTTGGAATCCAAGGTATATATCTTAATAGTTTTTAACAAAATGTATATCTATGATCACTTTATTTAAACTATGAATAGAATATAATAAAAATACATTCTCATCATTTTAATATGAGCCTCCAAATTCTTTTAAGAATATTTATTTTGTTACATCAACTTTTAATGAAGATAAAAATGGAATAACTTCATCTTTCTAATCTAATGCTAAAATCTTATAGCTTTAACATTCAACATAAGATTTAGCAGAATTATAATCCCAAGATGTTAATAATTTAAATAAAAAACTAGCATATTTTGAAAATCCAACTTAGGCTATTTTACTAATACTTGAAAATGTTCTATCTGCAAATAATAAATTGCATTATCTAACTCTACCCAAATGACATGCTACCATTCCTCCTAAAGATTCACCATGAAATATCAATTAATTCACTTTTAATTGAGATGTTACATAATCACAAATAGATTCTGCATCTTTCATTATATCTTTTGTATTTGGTAATCCTTAACTTTCACAATAACCTCTATAATTCCATAAAAACATGCTTATTCCTCTTTTTAAATAATAATCAATCCATTCTGATTCATAATACATATATTCATAATATCCAGCATTTGGCTAACAAAATATAACTGCTCTATCATTTTCTGTATCATCTTCATTTGCATATATATAAAGACTATAATCATCTAATATATAAATACCAATCAATCAATTTTCCATCATATCCTTGTACTTTAAATCTTCTAGTCTTAAAAGTATTTTCTAATTCTACTCTCATTTAATCAACTGTTCCTAGAGTCTTATTAAAGATCCATCTTTCAGCTTCTAAAATAATGTTTTTAGGTATATATATTTCTTATAATTAATTTACTAGGTTATCCAAAATTAGTAGTAAATTAGAACATTATTCAGAATCAACTTAAATTGTTAGTTTACAATAATTAATAACTTCTTATGGATTATCTAATTGATCGTATAGAGACTTAGAGTCGATTAAAAAATCCTTTAAATTCTATTCTAATTATTAACACAAACCAAATAGATATTTTTATTATTCATTTAATTCTTTTCTACAATTTAATGAAGAAAATGTGTTTAAAAATGATTATAATGTTTTTTTTATTGGTACTAAATCTTCAACATAGATTTCTTTAGTACTAATTTACCTTTAATAAATTACTCAGGTATCTACAATAATTTTCTTATCAAATTTTATAAATCTTCCATTCTTTTATTGGCTCTTTTGGCTAAAGCTTTTGCATATCTATTTTCGACATTTCTTCTCCATAACCAATAAGAACCTGGAAATACAAATAATCTTATTGTATTTTTTATGAAAACATATAATCCAACAATAAATATCTAAAATTTAATTAATGAATTTTGAATTACAAAGTGGCCTAGAAATCCAAATTAGAATACAATCAGGCAATCAATAAGATATAAGATTCCAAGTAACAATATAGCAACTCCTAAGATAGCCATTATTTTCTTTTGCTCATTCGTAATTTACATAATTAATATAAAAAAAATAATATATTTCATAGGTTTGATAACTTTTCTTTAATAAATTTAAGTTTTTATTGATCTGTCCCATAGTATTGATACTATAATAAAAAAATATATCATACTATAAAAAACTAGCATTCACTTAGATTTTTTATCAATACATCTTATTATTGAATCTTTTTTAAATTTTCCAATTTATCAATGATAAAATTTAAATAATCTTCATTATTCATATTTTTTATATCATTATAATCTTTTTACTTAACCACACCAAATTTCTATTTTGTAAATGAATCATTTTTTATAGGATCTCCTATTCTTTTTAATTCTAATGAATTATTTTTATTATAATATGTTGTTTATTTATATGGCTTTTATTCAGAAATAGTATTAATTTTAACAAGACCTTTACTCCCAGATATAATAATACTATTATTCTATGGAGTTACCTCTGGAGTATTTCTTCTTTAAATCTATGGTGTTGTATGTCTTTTGTCTATATGTGCACTATTTGTCATTGATTTTCTATTTCTGAGATATTTTTACAGGATTTAAGCCAATTTTATTAAATCACATCTATTTTTAGGATCATAAGCTAATAAATTTCTAATTGCCTCAGTACTACCAACTGAAATAGGATGTTTAAAAAATAAAACATTATCTAATTAATATTATTTTAGCTTTAAAATTAAATCCTCCAATTCCATTGAAAAGAAGGGCACCACCCCTTAATATAAATTAAAAACAATACCAAAAATCATTTCAAAATACAATATTCCCAAAGACCAAATATCAGTTTTATGATTGTATTCTTGTTATAATAGGGTTTCAGGAGACATATATAAAGGAGATCCTACTTATAATTTTTTATCCTCAAATTTGAGCTTATCTTATTAGATTGCAAATCCAAAATCAGCCAATCTTACTTCTCCATTATGAATTAATATGTTTGATGGTTTAATATCTCTGTGTATTATTTCTATATAAATTTATTCAAATACATTTCTAATTTAAATATAATAGTGCTTCTGATATCTATAGAATATACATTATAACTTAATCCTCATTTATTTATCTTTGCTGCTTCAGAATTGATAAAATATCTATTAAAAATTATAGCGTAATACCTGTTTCACAATATTCAGAGATAATATAAAAGTTGTTAATAGTTTCATAATGTGCATACATTTTTACTATATATTTATGATTCAATTGTTAAAGAATTTCAATTTCATGTCTTAACATCTACTCAAAAATACCTTTCACTAATTTTTTATCAATTTATTTAATTGCTACTTGTTACTTTGTTATGTTATGATATCCTTTATAAACATGACCGAATTATCCTGCTCCGACTTTGGATTAATTAGAAATAAGATAAGAATATTCTCCAATTGTTTTTTCGTTTTGCATATTAAATTTTAATTAATTTAACTTAATAAATGAATATACAACACTGCAAGTGAATTTAATTATCATTATTTAAAATAACAATAATAAAAACACTTGATGACAATTTCAAATCTAATTTTGATTAGTATTTTCTCTATAGATAATAACAGTATATTAATTCTTATAATATGAGGAATCATTAAAGGCTGATTGAATATTTTAAATACATCAAAAATTAAAGAGTACTTTTTAAACAAATTAAAAATAAAAATATCAAAAGATATTGAAAAATAATCAATTAAAATTGATAAATAGACTAATTTATTAGCATTTAAATAGATAAATTTAAGTCTATCAACTGATTAATACAAGAATAAGTCTAAGTTATCATATTAGAATTAAATTATCTAACAATTAAATACATAAAAATAAAATTAATAAAATTAGCTTAAACTAAGTTTCCATTTAAATAGGAGTATATTAATATTAATAAACTATATTAATATTTTGAAAATAAGAAAAAACTAATATATTTTATGTTTAATAAAAATCATTATTTTATTAATATAATTTAATATAAATTTAATTATGTAAAAAGTTTATTTTCCAGGTGAATTAATTAGACATAAAAATGAATTATAAAGTGGAATTGGAACATATGTAAAAGATGATAAAATATATGCATCTATGTAAGGAAGTCTAACAATTAATGAATAACTAATATCAATATTTCCATCCCATTAATAAGATCCTGAATTGAAAATAGGTTCAATAATAATAGGATAAGTTAATTGCATTAGAGAAGATAGAATTTTTGTTAGGATTTTAAAAATAAATGGAGTGAAAGTTAATAATTACATTGAAGGTGTATTAAGGTATTGAATTAATATAAAAAATAGAAAATAAAACATAAGATTGCATGAAATTGATTTGTTGGAAATGAATAAATGTTATTTACCAGGAGATATTATAAAGGCTAGAATGATTTCTTATGGAGATTCATTAAAATTGTATTTGAGTACAGCAGAAGATGAATTAGGAGTACTATTTGCTAAACACTAAGAAACACAGAAATTAATGATTCCTTTATCATGGGATGAAATGCTTTGTGTAGAAAGTGGTTTAAAAGAGAAAAGAAAAGTAGCTAAACCTAATTTCAATTAATTGGTCTGATTTGTCAATTATTTATATAATCGTTTAAATGTATCTAATTCTCATTTTTATTTTTTTGGTTTACTTGAAAAGATCTTAACTTTCTATTCTCCAGATTTAGCTTCATGCATAATATGTTAAGCATCTGTTTAAACTTACTTTTATGGTGGAGTTGTTGTTGTCGTTGTTGTCGTTGTTGTTGTAACATCACTATTTAAATCAGCTCTATCTTAAACTACAGCTTTAACAATAGTTTAGATATTCATATTATTTTATCTCTCTAAAATAGTACCAGGTAAATATTTAGGAATACCAAATACTCTATTATATAAATATTTGTAATTACTTTCTGATTTTCTCTTATCTTGCTAGAGCAGTAATTATTAAATGACAAAATGCAGAGGAGCACCAATAAAGATTAACACCAGCTGGGAAAAAGATAACAACAGGAATGGAAAAGAAAGGTAAAAACCTTACATATCGATAATACTTAGCAAATGGAACAGTAGATTATGATTGCATATTGGGATTCAAAGAGATGTTCCAAAATGTGAAAAATGAACTCATAATTGGCAATATTCCATAAGGATCATATTCACTTAAATCTTAAAACCTATTATTTAATACAATTTATACCATAAAAATCCTTAACTTTTTAATCCTTCATATTTATCTGGTAATGAACAGACATATCTTAATGATAAAAACCATGTAAATAGGAAAGGCATTTGTAATATGGATAATCCTGGAATAAGCATATTTATGTTATGCTTTCTTTTGAAAAGTTTAAATTATTTTTATGCTGCTCTACTAGCTTTGAAATCTTAAGCTCTCATTGCTCGTTAAATCATGTTTTAGAAGTTCTTACTCTCAGGCTCAATTAATTTCATACGACAAGCATTTAATTAAGCAGAAAACATTAATGGTGTAAAAGCAATCTTAATACCCATTGATATTGCTAAGATTCCCCATCCCATTCCCCAACTCTTTTTAATAAATATGCAATATTTACTAAATCATTAGCTATATATAATAGTAATTCTCTTGAGTATTCATCTAATGAATTGTACATGTTGGTAGGAGTATATGCAGAGAATCTTGTAATTAAGTCTTCTACCATAATACTAGAAGGAGCAGTAATTCCTTATTATACATTGGCAAAATCAAAGACACCTGTAGGGATTTTGGTTGAGAATTTGTATAATTTAAGTGTTCTCGAAATCATAAATATAATTTTATCATTTTATAAAACTTTTGTTTTGCTTACCCTACAAATTATTTAGATTAATATAATTTGAGTATTGATCATTTCATTTTGTTATAATAACTTATTTTCCAAATTCAATTACTTTTAGTTTTCAATCTCAAAATTATAAATTAAAGTTTCATTTTGTAATAAGAATTTAAGGTGATTTATAACTATATAAATGTAATACATATTGAATGAATGTATCAATTAGAATAAGATATTGAATTAAGTAGTTGTTCTATATTATTGAATGATAATAGTATTCAAATTGTATTTTCATTTTATTTATCACTATCTCTATTTAATAATAATAATAATTTCTATGTTCTAATATTTCCTCTTACTTTCACCATCAGTTAATAAATAATAATATTAATATTGGAATATATTAAAATTCAAAATTTATGTTTTATAGATCGAGTAAACTTCCTCATTCGGTAAAGAACTAACCGGGGTCATTCTTTCCAAAGCAACCTTACTCACCAGCAAAGTCACATATAGAACACTTTGTATCTGAAAATCCTACACCCCATTATAGAAAATAATACAAGGCTTATCCTCCGAGACAAAATTCGTTTAATATGTCGAGTGGTGAAAGTCTAGAATAATTTCATAGAAAGCGTTAAAATTCTAATTTTAGTTAAGAAAAGAAAGCAAAAAATTAACTGTTTAATATGTTATTCAATAATACAAATCGTAATGATAGTTTTTGTAAAGACACCATGTATAATATGATGAATTATATTTAGGAAGAAGCAAAAAAGATAATACTCATTTAATAATTAAGGATAAAACTGGTATCTTCCTAGTAAATAAAAGTTATCATAAACTATGTAAAAAAAGCAATCAAATATTAACAACAGCATGGATGGATAGTAGACTGTTGATATTAGTTTCGAAAACAATTTAATCAAAGGTTATTAGGATCATAGTGGTTTTTAGAGTGACACAACTAAACCTTCTGAAGAATATAATCCTAGATCAATTAAACTATTTGAAAAAGGAAAATAACTATTAAGAGATAAGTAAATTGATGAAGCAATTGAGTAAATAATTTATTTTTATCAAAGTTTATTAAAAAAATGTATAGAAATTGATACTAGATTATTAGAAGGTCATTATTTTTTAGGAATAGGCTATTTAGGAACCCATATGTATTAAAAAGCTATTGCAGAATTCTAATCTGTTATTTAATAAGATGCAGTTCATCGCAAAAACATTTATCTTTTATTAGCTATAGCTCATAAAAAGATGAATGAAATAGATTAAGCTATTCAAATTCTTAATAAAGTAATAGGTATGTTCCCTAGATATTATGATGCCTATATTTATAGAGGGAAACTATATACTAAACTCAATTAAATAGATAAAGCTGATTAAGATTTTAATATCGCCATTCAATTAAGTCCATAAAAAGGTTTAGGTTATTTAGGTAAAGCAGATTGTTTAAGAATACAATGTTAATATAAAGAAGCTATTAAATGTTATTAAAAAGCTATTAATTGTGAATAAGCTGTTGGAAATGCAGCAATCTTAAAAAAAGCAATTACTTTATATGAAAGTCAATAATATGAAGAATGTGCAAAAGACTTAACAAAATTGTTAGAAACTGATCCAACAAATTCAGAAGCTTATTATTTCAAAGGATTAAGTAGATTAAAAATAAGTAATATGATATTTTTATTGTAGAGAATCCAACTGAAGCTTTATTATGTTTTGAATAAGCCATTAAGCATAACAATTCAAAAAAAGCGGTTACTAAATCATTATACGAAATAGCTAAGATGAAAATTGAATAAAGAGATTTTTATGCAGCTTATCATACTTTAAATAGATCATCTATGTTAGACACAGAGAAGAGTTATTTAGAGAAATTTAAATTATTTACTGAAGTAATTTAATTTATTTAAATAGGCTGTAATATTTTTGATGAAAAGAAAATTCTAAGATAGTATGATCAACTTTTAAGAAATTCAAAATAATCATTAATTAAATGATTTTTTAAAACCCTTATTTTATGCTTATAGAGCTTATGGATATTTTTGTTTATCTAATCATTAAAAAGCATTAGATGATTATAAATATTTATTAGAAATCTAACCAGCTGAGTCAAGTGTTCATTATAATAAATTTTTATGTGAAGGTATATTGAAAGTATAATCTGGTTTATGTACTGCTGGTATGGAATTCTTTTAAAGAGCATAAAAGATATTTTAAAAGAAAATGGAACCCACATTTTATTTAGCTGTTACTTTTATTAATCAATCTTTTAAAAAAAAAAGTGATTAATATAAAGATGTTATCAAAGGATTAGAACTATTAGATAAAGCAAATAGTATGAATGATTAAAATGCTAATTTATATTATGTTCGAGCTATTGTTAAGTGTTTTTTAGGCTAAATAAATGAAGCATTGCTAGATATAGAATCTGCAATTTCAAAGTCAGAAGATAATATTGCAAAGTATTTCTATTTAAGAGGAATGATTTTTGGAATATTAAAATAATATAAACATTCTTTAAATGATTTTAGCATTTGTCTAACTCTAGATGAAACATTTGCTGATGCATATTTAAATAGAGCAAAATGCCATTTTTTAAGTGGAGATTCAAATTCTGCTT